AATACGAATATAAGCACCAAATTGAGTATGAATTTCAGCAGAAAACTTTTGATAAATAGAAAACAACTCAGAACGGTTTTTCATTAAATAAATCCAAGTACAACGGGAGAAATCATCAATAAAGGTAACAAAATACCGAAAACCTAAAACAGACACACTTCGACTAGGACCCCAAACATCTGAATGAATAATTGAAAAAGGAGCATCAGCTCGCTTATTGACTCTATTAGCAAAGGAGGAGCGTATGTGCTTTCTTTGCTGACATGACTGACAATCTAAAGTTTGAAGACCGGATAAAAGAGGAACCATCTTCTGCAATTTCGCAAGACTAGGATGCCCGAGACGACTGTGGATGAGTTGTGGAGATTCTGTGAGAGAACAAGCAACTGAAGGACTCGGCACATCAAGGTAGAACAGACCCCGTGACTCACGGCCCACTCCAATCATCTTCCCCGTACCCGGGTCCTGCACAGAAACAGAATGGTTTGAGAATGTGACAGTACAATTAAGAAAATTGATCAATTTACTAACAGATATTAAATTATAAGGGATGTGAGGAATGTAATAGACACATGTCAAGGTCAATGAGGAGGTTGGACAGATTTGTCCAATCCCATGAACGGGGGCCTTAGTTCCATCAGCAAGAGTAAAAGAGGGTAAATTTTTAGAATATGTAAGGAAAGAAAAGAGTTCCTTATTACCACAGAGGTCATCAGTAGCACCTGAGTCAAATATCCAAGGACCAGGTGATGCAGAATGAGAAACACAAGCAACAGGATTACCAGTTTCTGAAGCAGAGGCCTGAGATTGAGGAGAGGACTTCCTGAGAAGGGCCTGGAATGCTACATATTCTTAAGAGGAGAGAGAGACTGTACCAATTTGAAGCAGTATCCAATTGAGCTATATTAGCAGCAAAAGAAGGTCGCATGTGAGGATACTTTGTGTAGCAGCGTTCCTCATAATGACCAAGTTGCTGACAGTAATGACAACGAGGTCGCTGACCACGTCCGACTGGACCTCCTGGGCCTCCTGGGCCACGTCCTCCTGGGCCACGGCCTTCTGGGCCTCTACCACGACCACGTCCACCTCCAATATTCCCGCGAAAATCAGTACGGGAAACTAGAGCAGTAGAATCAACAGCAGAAGACGATGCAGGAGCAGATTTCTTATTCAAATTCAGAAGACGCTGATACGTCATGGATAGATCAGGCTCCCCACTAGTCAAGATAGTATCACGGACATTATCATATTCTTCGGGAAGGCCAGAAAGTGTGGCAACCATAAAGAGACGTTCCACCTGTTTCCGATATGCAGTACCATCAGTAGGGTAAGGCAGCATATCCAAATATGCCTGCATCAAAGAGCGACTTTTGCCAATATATGTCTCCATCTGAATGTCGGATGATTTGCTCAATTCCATAAACTGAGAGATGATGAAATAGAGCTGTTGAACATCATTAGTGTAGAGGTTTTTTGCTTCCTCCCACACTTTAGTGCAAGTTTGAAATGAATAAAAGATATCCAAGACGATCAGATCAATGGATTGCCAGAGGATACTCAGAAGCTGGTTGACAATCTTTTCCCAATCAGGCTTGTCCTCCTTAGGGACATCAGTAGACTTAGTCGTGAGATGGATCTCATATCCTTGTCCAAAGAACCAAACTCGAACAGAGGTGGCCCAGGTCTTGTAATTAACAGATCCCTTCAATTTTGAAGTGGTAATGGACCCAATATTGGTAGAGATGATATTGGGAGAATTTCTCACAGGAGGAGATGGAGAATTGACCTCCGAATGAATTGGAGAGTTTGCTGCCATAGTATTAAATCACAAAGATATAAACCGAATAAAGAGAAACGAACCTGATCACCAATCAAGAAGAGGTGCGCACAAAAAGTCAGACCCACAAAGAACCAACCACAGATCCAGAAAGAGGAGGAGAAGACGAGCTTCTTTGTCCAAGACCGGCCGGAAAAAGCCGCCGGAATAGTGCTCACGCGCCGGCAGAAGGTGGCGCGTGAGAGCGCGTGACAACTCCGATGGTGGCCGGACTTCCACAGAGCAGGTCGCCGGGAGGAGAGGAAGCTGTTCGCATTCGTTCCGGGCTGAAATCTCGCTGGAAAAGTGCTCCGGCAGCCTGAACAGTGGCTGATGGTGGCTCCGGTGACTGTTTGGGGACGTGGACACGTGCAGAAGATGCCTGGAGAGGACTTACAGTCCTTGATGGCTTGCCGGAAGGACGCACGACAAAGAAAAGATGACTCCTAAGCAGTGGGCTTAGGTTTTAAAGCGAAGAACAAGATTTCTAAGCGGAAGCGAGGGTTCCCAGAACGAAATAGCTCTGGTACCAAATTGAATGTAAAATAATATGTTGGGTATTGATCTGTGTCAGAGAATTACAATATATAGAGACCCTAATGGGCTTAAGTGAAAGGCCCAAACCTAATGCAATCCTAATACAATCAGAATATTTACGGATAAGACTGAATCCAATCATATCTAATCATATCATATCTAATATTCTAACTAATCATATCATATCTAATATTCTAACAGTAGAATTAGAGCTTAATGTTGATAAGGATTCCATGTGTCAGAATGGACTCAGTTATGTTAATTTCAGAACAAAAATGAACTCAGATAACAGATATCAGAATAAGTTAACTACAAAAACTCAAAAGTTATCATCAATATTATATAACAACTTTCTTCATTGAAAACATTTAAAAGTAGAACAAGTGAAACTATGCAGGTACTCTCCCAGTACTTTCAAATACTCCTCATTCCTCTTAAGGATCAGCCAAGATGAAACCCCATGAGGCCTTGCACCATCTATATAATACTCAAAAGATGTATCTATTTCACTTGATGAATTGGCAGCTGAATTGTCTCCTAATACAGAGTTTTGTTCTTTGCACGGTGATCCAGATGTAACCAGTAGAACAATTTCCATTATTTTCAACCCAATTAAAGTATTATGGATGATAGCCTTATAAGAAAATCACACCGGTAATTAATCATTTTTCAACAACATCAGAGGATGAGATTATAGTCCAACATCCTAACAAAAGATACAAGGATTTATAATTTTTGTCTAATCTCTCTCTCTCACACACACACACACGTAAAGAACTATTTCAACCCAAAACCTTAAGGCATTAAGTTTATAGGTCATGTGCTATGCTTAGCCCATTCCTTTCCAATGTGAGACTTTTATCATCACATTTGAATTCCCAACAATCTCCCCCTCAAGTGTGAATCTTACAATTGTCAATTCTCCCCCAAGCGGAAGCTTCTTCAAGTATTGATGGGGTTACCAATCAAGAGTGGATGAGTCTCTTAGTCCACAACATGGGTTTGCGCAGGCCTACAAACCTGAAAACCAACCACTATCTCCAAATACTCGGTAACCCTGGCCAATCAACCATTAGCTTTGATAATACTATTTGGCAGCGGCCAAGGGGAGCCTAATTAGAGTAGACTACCATCCACGCATCAAATGGGCCTAGGCAAAGCAACAAACATATAATAAAGGGTCCGACACCACACTCAACCCAAAACCTTAAGGCATTGGATGGGGTTACATTAATGATTTTATATCTCTTTAACACACACCCCCTCATGCAAAAATCCTTTGGACTTGAAGCGTAGATATTGCACAGGCCCATTTTTTTGTCAACCTTGTGCAGCATAGGTCCATTTTTTGTTTACCTTGTGCTTACTCAATTCCACCACAAAGTGGGGGTGGTAAGAATCAAACTCGTGACCACTTGGTTACTTTAACTCTGATACCATGTAAATAACTATTTCAATCCAAAAGCTTAAGCATGTAAGTGAAGGTTAATCAATGATTTAATATTATAACTCTCTAATACACCCCCTCACGCAAGAACCATTTGGGCTTGAAGTCTGGATATTGCACAGACCCATTTTTTTGTTCTATCTTGTACTTATTTAATTCCATTAGAAAGTAGAGAGTGGTGAGGATCGAACTCGTGACCCCGTGATTATCGACCTGTGGAGCAATCATCTCACCTAAAAACTTAAGCTTTAATATATCCTCACTCGTTAGCTTAACCTTTTGGATTGAATTGGCGCTTTACATGGTATCAGAGTTGACATGACTAAGTGGTCATGAGTTTGATTCTCACTACCCCCATTCTATTAATGAAAATAATTAAATATTGTGGAGTTTCTTAGCAAAGGTAGAGTGGGTCCGATACATTATTCACCCTTCAATGGGCTCTTATGTGAGAGGACATGTTAGATAAATATAAAAACCATTAAAAATGTCTTCACTTAACAGCTTAAGCTTTTGGGTTAAATTGATTCTTTACATGGTATCAGAGCCTCGACGTCACAGGTCCGATCATCACCGGGTCTCATTTAATTAATAATTAATTAAGTCTTGTGAAATTTCTTAGCACAGATAAGTGGACTTGTGCATTGTCCACCCTTCAAGCTTAGTAGACTCTTGTGTGAGGGGGCGCGTTAGAAAAATATAAAAATCATTAATGTAGCCTCACTCATTAACTTAAACTTTTGGGTTGAATTGATTCTTTATACTTGCGATTTTTAAATTTAATTAAAGAAGTTTTATTAAAGGAAAGAGAAGAAGAAAGTATGGAAAGAAAGGACAAGACATCCTCTAAGGGAAAGAGTAAAGGATTTAAAACAGCAAGAAAAACAAATCAATCTGAGCAAAAGGCATTCAACCCCCGAAAAACCATTCTTGCAAAGATATATAGTTCTGTTCAATAAGTTTTGATTTCCACTCCAATCAACACACCAATCCTGCATACCTTATTGCAAAACTTACTGTCCTTCCTTCCAAAACTTTCAACATTAATCATCAATAGTGATAATTGCAACCTTCCAAATGGACTTAGTTGACGCACAACATCTATATTCCCATTTGTATATAAATTCATATATAATGGTCAAAGTTACTAAATATTGACCAACAAATTTGATTTCAATGGCAAGGGTAATGATGAGTAACCTGTCACTGGTTCTTCAGAGCCAACAGATGATTCATCCTTGGGACGACAACCATTCACGGACATGTACACAATTTCCACCTAAAATAAAAAATTGCAGAGCTAAAAGAAATAATTTTACAATTTGAGTTAGCACAGTATGATCAGTAGGAAAGCTGATAAGTAGCCAACACCCAGAAAATCCGGAACAAAACTCTAGTTGGAACTAAACATATATGTGTTTATCTACATTTCCAGAAGGAATAAAGTTGAAAAGAAGGAATAAGAGAATAAAATGGTAATGTTACTGCGAAACAGAAACAGTTATACAAAATTCGAGATTTGTAAATACTATGCACATGCTTTGTAACATCCCGAGCGCTGACCAGGGCGGGAAGTGATCGCCGGTGCAAAGAGGCACGGACAAAGAGCGGCTCCTGACAGGCTTCTAGCTTGGGGTTACATGCATGAATGAATCGAATCGACACCCGAAAGAGAGGGATTCCAAAGACTGTGCAGGTGTGAGACTGCACAGTTTGGGATAGCTTATAAGAATTAATTGGTGCTACCTATACTAACAAGATGCATTTACTTTTCGGTAGCCCGGAACGGAAGAACTCCATAGTTTAGCGTGCTTGACTTGAGGCAATTCTGGGATGGGTGACCTCCTGGGAAGTTTTCCCGGGAAATGTGCGAGTGAGGAAAAAGCACACTGAAAAGTCTCGTGTTAGTATGTGGGGATAGTCATTGATTCTTGAAGCGGCCGGGCGTTACAAGTGGTATCAGAGCAGGCCTCTCTTCCAGTACGGTGTGGTTCGAGGACGAACCAGGCGGAAGCTGGTGGGCATGTAACATCCCGAGCGCTGACGAGGGCGGGGAGTGATCGCCGGTGCAAAGAGGCATGGACAAGGAGCGGCTCCTGACAGGCTTCCAGCGTGGGATTACATGGTTGAATGAATCGAATCGACACCCGAAAGAGAGGGATTCCAAAGACTGTGCAGGTGTGAGACTGCACAGTTTGTGATAGCTTATAAGAATTAATTGGTACTACCTATACTAACAAGATGCATTTACTTTTCGGTAGCCTGGAACGGAAGAACTCCATAGTTAAGCGTGCTTGACTTGGGGCAATTCTGGAATGGGTGACCTCCTGGGAAGTGTTCCCGGGAAGTGTGCGAGTGAGGAAAAAGCACACTGAAAAGTCTCGTGTTAGTATGTAGGGATAGTCATTGATTCTTGAAGCGGCTGGGCGTTACATGCTTCTTTTCACTCCTCAGTTTAATTTCATTGAGATTTGAGAGAATCCATGTTTGTATTGGTCACGCACACCCAATTTGATGTTCTTATTTCTAATGTTAAAAAACAATCATTGAAGTTAATAATGAATACTCACAAATTTATTTGATTCTTAACATAATTTCCTTATTTAAATTATGGGCTATGGGCTTCTCTTTTTTCATGTTACGTGAGGTAATATCTCTCATACCATAGACACAACAAGTAGTGGAGCTCACCACTTGTTAAAAAAAAGGATAACACGAATTTTGATGCCTCACAACATGAGAAAACAATTTCCTATTGAGAAAATGATTGATTGAATTCCCTTAAATCATTTATGATTTAATTCAGCTACATATTTCTTTATTAGAATGGAGTATTTTGTGAGATATTTCACATCTAATGGATGGAGAGATTGTGCTGCACGCAAAAAGGTAAGATTGAAATTTTTCGTTTGTTCTTTTTTCTTTCTTGGCGAGATAGGTAATTCCCATCTTTTCTGTAAAATACACAAGTGCCTGTCTTGATTTTCAATCTCTATACTAAAATAAGTACTATTGAATTGGGTTTTAGATATTGCATTGTTGCACCATGTCAGACAAGAATATTACCATAATGGATTATGGAGGTGTTTGTTGTAAAGATTGTGCAAAAAAAATTCTTATGCAGGTATGAATAAACAATGATATACTAATGTATGATAGAATTGGATTCTAGAATATAATGTCTTAAATCTCAATTGGTATTTGCTTGAGATATTTTTATTCTTTCCTTCATCACTATATTTACTTTCTTAAGTTATAAGAAAAATCCAAACACAAAAATTTGGTAGTATATCAAAAGGAAAATACTTGAATGTTTTTAACACTTGCTATGTAAAAGGAAAACAATTCTTTAGAAACTTCCATCATATGTTCTTAATGTATTCCTGAAGTAGTATGCAACATCATCATCAACAATCCCTGAGTTGGAATCCCATTTAGACTAATAATTTTTCTGGTTCCGAAGGATCCAAATATATGAAAACATGAAATTAAGAGTTTTTCCCCCTCCTTTTTACCCGATCTTTTGGTCTTAAGAATGAGCTATGACCTTTCTCCAACCTTTACTTTCCAAACTATTAGAGTAGATAGCTAATGCATTATGCTTTTTCGTTAGGGTTCTTTTCTTTCTTACATGGTGGAGATAATGGGTTGGTCCATGAATATTCTTTCCTTTTTCTTTGTCGCATTTTGTTCAAAGGATTGAAGGTAGATGGTGCATAAAGTTGTTCACTCGGGCTGTCTTGGCCCCATTAACCAAGATCCCATATGAGAAAACTCTAGGAGAGTCACGTACTCCAGTTAATGTTCATGTATGATCCAAATTAGATCTAACCAACTGCCAATCCCACCTCTTTTATGTTCTTGACAGCCTATCTTTGTCCCAGTATAACCTTTTTAATGGCATGCTTTAGTCGTTTTTCCCATTACTTAGAAAAAGTGAACAACCATTTCAGGTATAGGATACTATCATGTTCACTTGAAGTGGCAGAGCCACGTTACCTCTAGCTAGGGCCTTGGCCTTGGCTTGTTTTCTAAATCAGATGTTTTTTAAATGGTTGGCTGTGTAAAATGGTTGGCTTCCTCCATAGCTGCTAACTTTGGCCCTGGCTTCCTCCATAGTTGATTTTTGGCCCGGACTTTCTGATTTTCATGGCTCCTCCACTGAATTTCGCTTGGATTAGACATCCATCCCGTAATTGCAATGACCCAATTGCAAAAACGAGCTCTACTAATTGAGTAGGGGTGTTAACGGGTCGAGTTTTGGTCTTGAAAGGTTAAGCTTGTGTTTAAATATGTCAAACTGACCTAGCCTGTAACCTGTTATGAATAATCAAATTATCACTATATTTATTCCTTTTTCTACTTCTTCTTCCAAGTGTAGGATAACCCCAAGGAGCTCTTTATACACCAGAGCCCCTTCCTTTATTTAATCTTGATTTAATCAATCTTATTGTTAATCTGTACAGTTCACACTCTTTAGCTCTACCCTTGATATATTTAGTAATAGGCCTTTCAGAAATAAATCTAACTATACAGCAATAGTATATAAGTATGAAGATTAGCTGGATTGTTGACCCTCTTAGTCCATTCTTGCAAAAGAAAGGGTATAATTTTTCCACTTTTTAAGTGAAGTAGGATTTTCCCCACTTAATGGATAACTGTTTGCTAAAAATAGGGATATAATTATCGGTCTCTGGCTTATTTACAAAAAATAAAAGTCTGTCTTAACCGGTTAAAAAAATAAGACTACAAAAATTTATCCAAACAGAAAGACCTTAAACAAGAGAGAAAGGTTAAATGCTCGGAGATGGAATACTTGTAGATGGCTTCGACGAAGAGAATGACGGAGAACGATTGTTTGATGGCTTGAGTGAGCTGGACGCGAAGATGGGAGTGAAAATTAGGTTAGTATAAAAAAAAAAAGTTAATAGGCCAGCCTGACCGGTCGGCTTTAAGGCCGAACTTTTGAATTAGAACTTAAGACCTTTTTATTAAATAAGTTTTTATACAAATCTAAGTCTAGATCCAACAACCAAAACATACAGACCATGCCAGGCCTACACGAGCCTAGCCAAAGGCCCCTCGCTCTTTTAACATCCCTATAATTAAGTTATATCCCACGAGCCAAGTAAGAGCACATGTGAAAGAATCAAGTCAGTCTTCTATAATTTTCCTTGTCATAGCTTGAACCAAAGACATCACCCATAATTAAATCATCGCATCTACTGTCCAACCAATAGGAAGAAAATCAATAGATTCATTTTCGAGAAAAATTCATCCTTCCCAAACGGAAATGCATTGTTTTCATTGATATCAAATCCAATCGTAATGTAACTTTATTTTTTCTAAATGGGCTTCCCTAATTCTTTTAGGTTTCTTTACTACTCTGAGTAAAGATCTGCCCAATTTTTATTTGCAGATATAGAACAAATACTGTAATACCACATCTTTTTGCCACGACTTCAATTTCTTTTACTAAGTTTTTCTTTTATGTTTTCTTTCCTGTTTTCCCCTAAATTGTATATATATTACCAATTTTTTCCTCCCCTAATCAAAGCATGTGTGCTTCATTTTATTGTTCCAACCAAGTCAAGCATAAATTATCCTAAATTTATAATTGAAATACGAATACTCCCATAACCAAAAAAATCGATCAGATTGTACTTAGTTACACTTCACGCAACAAATCTTTGATGATTCAATCAAATATTTTTTGGGGTGACTGAGAGAATACCTCGAGCGAGGGAGAGAACGAGGGAACCCCGTAGGACCAAATATATCTAATAAGTTAGCTTACATGTCAACCCAATATTATCTTCTTGTCCTGGACTTCGAAAGGGTGCTTTTGAAACACCAATGAGTATTAAAAAAAATGAATCCATATATCTCACTTTGTTATGGAAACCATAGATGTCAATAGCAGTTAGCGACCGGTGGCGGTCGACCCCGAAAATGATATAACGGTGTAGCGGGTAACGGTATTGTCGCTACGGTGAAATATTAATTCCACATATATTATACTAACAGTCAAGAAACGAGGCAATACAGCTTTTAGTATTAATGCTCAAACATAAGAAGTCACACAAAATCAAACACAATTCCACAATCAATGTCAAATACGAGGAACGTAAAGAAGGATCCAAAACTAAACACAAATGAACAATAAAATTGCCAAATAGTCAAGTACAAGAAGTGAATTAATGAAGAAAATCATCATCATCTCCGGATTCTCCGTCAAATTCCAACATGGGAGTGGTGTGGCGGTGTAGCGGGTAGCGGTATTGCCGCTACACTACGCCGCTACCTTCCGCTACAGTCAATGTCGAGTAGCGTCGCGGTTTGTAGCGGCCAACCGCCGCTACCCGCTATGATGGCGGTTTAGCGGCACTACGGGCCGCTACTGACAACCTAGATGGAAACATAAGAATTAGTTTATTGTATTAAATAAGATTGGTGTTTTCCGTATTTTATTTAGAAATAAATGAATAAAAATGGAAGACCAAATCATTAAAGGAAAGTTCTTACTAAGAAGTCCCTTGAGCGATAAACGAAAATGATAATGGGGGCAAAAGTGTTGATCAAGAAAGACTTATTGTTCTTATTATAAGATTGTGATTAGAGCCATATGTTTGGTAAAAAGAATAATATTCTTCATTGAGAATAATAAAAAAGAAAAGTGTTCAGGTGGAAATGAAAATTGATTGAATTGGTCTTAGTTGCTCTTCAAGAAAGATTGAAAGAAGGGAATAGATTTTCGAAAGAAGAAAAGGATCCAATGACTTTGAAAAAAATTGAATGAGGATAATACCAATCAAATTATTTTTTTACATTTTAATGTAAATCAAAATGTTAGGGGAAATAAAAACATTACCAAAAAAAAAATAATAATAGATATTTTTAGATCATTGAAGAAATCTCTTGTTTTGAGTTAGATACTCGAAATCGAGCAAAAGCATAATACATGAGTCCAGTAGATATTGAACCAACCCCCATCAAACTACGAAAAGATATTGAATATGATTTGTAACGGTACTTAGTTAATATTCATAAAAAGTATCTAATGAATTATGAGTTCACTACGTCTTACTAAGAAGAAAGGATACCTCACAGGAAATCCTTTTTGCTCTTCTTAGCCCTATACCCCTTATAGGAACAGGACAATTCTATTTCGTCAAATAGCGACAAACTCTTGTGTTCCTCTCTCTACATTATTTTTGAACAAGTTCCTGGATAAAAAACTTAAGGATTTTCTTATAGATGATAGTGACAATGTCGATGTGACCTTCATACTGAGCTGGAGATTCTAAATATGATGAATATACTAACAATGGACATGATGCCAAAAATAGACAAATTTTATATACCCTTCAATTCGAATAGCCAAAAGCATTGTCTTCTTGCAAAATATGGATTCCAATCATTCACGGTCTAGCTGTGAATGAGTCGAATTATTTATCTTAGTCTATTAGTGAATTATCTCTTCAAGAATAGTGAAAGATGTTCCACTATAAATATTCTTGTTATTGCTTCGATTCATATTCCCCAAAATACAAGGTATTATCGAGTTGACTCAGTTTAAAGAAAAATGTAGGGGTATTTTTGAGAAATAACGTCTTCTCCCAAATTAAAACAAAAAATCCCTACTTGGCCGCTCATTCAAGGTCGCGTTGCTGACTTGCTGCTGGCCAACTGCTTCTTCTCATCGTCCAAAAACAAAAAAATCATCGTTGCTTCTTCTTCTTCTTCTTCTTCTTCTTGCTTCTTCTTCATAGCTCATTCTTCTTCATCCTTCCTTGCTTCTTGCTTTTTCTTTGCTCATTCATGTGAGGCTATTCTTTTGATGTTTCAAGCTGTGCCTCTTTTTTTTTTTTGCTTCTTCGTCGTTGCTTCAAGATGTGCCTCTCTTTTTTAAGCTAAATATATACAACTTCTCACGCCAATTTTTTTTTCTCACGGGCCTTTTTACAGCAAGTATTGTGGGGACCGTGGGGTATGCGTATGCTTGAATTTGTTAGTGTCAAATTTTGGATTTAAAATTAGTTAACTACTGTAATTAATTTTTTTATTCCATTCTTTTACTGGAACAAATTTTAATCAAATATCTCTATTTTAATTTTAAAATATATAACCAGATAATGTTTGGGCTTTTTTTTATACAACTTCTTTGGAAGGATATTTGTTATCTCTTTCAACTTAGGTGTTTTGATTTTAATATGTATTATGATGACTAAGTTTGAACTTAATTTTTTTTTTTTTTTTTTTTGATAACATGAACTTAATTTTTATTTCCTTTAATGTTTGCACTTAAATTTGTGATGACTTATGTATTGGTGTGTTTTGGTTATATATATGTTGGATATTTTTTTTTTGGTATGTAGTAAACTCTTACGTTTCGTTTACGTTTCTCGATTTTACGTTTTTGCTTCCTCCTACCGTTTCAGCGTAGACTCTACGTTTAACAACATTGGTGTCATGCTTAATTATTATAAATTTAGAATAATTTAATATTGCTTTGATTAGACCAACAAAATGAAGCACCGTTTTGAAAAAACCAATAAATTAATTGGAAACATATCTACAATTACTACTTCTATTATCATATATTTGGGGGAAAACACTAAATAAAAATTCAGAAAAAAGGAAGTTGTAGCAAAAAAAATGTGATATTATAGTATTTGTCTTATGTGTGCGATTAAAAATAATGTATTTAAGTTTGGGGAGGGTGAATTGCTCTTGCAAAGGAATATTGATTCCTTCCCAATTGGTTGGATCGTAGGTGTGCTGATTTATTTCACACGCAAGGTGTGTGATTCAAATCCAATGCCCAACTTTGCTAGGGAAAATAATAGAAGACTTACTTAACTCCTTCATGCATTTTCCACTTGGCTAAGGGGATATAGCTCGATTGGTAAAAGCTTACTCTTCCAACTGAGTTGTTTCAATAACGGGTTGGATTTCTAATTTTCCAAGTAATGATAGTATTTTGTGCATGAACTAGTGGCTAACTTTTTCGGGAAGGAAGACCGAAACATGCCATTAAAATACTCCACTGAGACAAGGATGGGCTATCACAAACATAAAGGAGGTACGATGGACGGTACGAGGGACGATAATTGGAGTTGGTGGCTCTCTTAGGTTTCCTCATCTAGGATCGAAGTTGGCCTTTGTGAACAACTTGATGCACTATCTCTTTTCAACTCTTTGAAGAGGTGGCAAAATGGGGATTGGCCCGTTTAATCCACAACAAATGGGGACCGTTGGGTTGAGGTTTCCAACCCGCCAACCTACCCCACTTAAGGGCGCGTCAAAACGAGTTCAACCCATAGCGGGGGCTGACAATTTTAAAAAATTAATTTCTTATATCTCAAGAAAGTTAATATAGTGATAATAGAGAGAACAAAAATGTCTCAAGAAAATATCAATTAAGATTTAGACATTATTTCCTAAAATCCAATTCTATCACATATTTGTGACAATACAATAGCATATCCGAGATACAAAAAACCAAATTGTTTAGTCATTCTCGAAAAAGATATTTCTTTGCACAATCTTTACAACAAACACCTCCGTGATCCATTATCACAATATCCTTGTTTGACATAATGCATCCACAATGCAACATCTGTACACCAATTTAATAGTACTTACTTAAATATAAATATTAAAAGGGTTCGTTTTTTCTGCAGTTACTGCAGATAAATTATCTGCAGTAAGCCCAATACAACGTCGTTTTGGGGCGGAAATTATGGTGTTTTTGAAATTTTAATTTATTTCAGGGTTATAATAGTCTTTATATTTATAATTTTTTAAGATTTCAATACCAAAACGACGTCGTTTTGGAAATAAATGCAGATAACTTACCTGCATTAACTGCAGAAATATTTTTCCCATATTAAAAATAAAAAAACTATCAATTGTAGGCACTTGGGCATTTTAGGAAAGAGATAATACTAAATCACCAATTAGTCAAGGAAAAAAACAAAGAAAGTTTCAATCTTACCTTATTGCATGCCGCACAGTTTCTCCAACCATCAGATTTCACGTGATATATCTCACAAAATACTCCATTTGCATAAAGAGCGCTGCATTTTCAAGAATAAAACTAGTTATATAAAGAAATTATGGAGATGATCAAATCATAAATGATGTATAAAGAAATTATGTGTAAGAATCAAACAAAATAAATAATTTGGATTAAGCCAAAATCATACCCGTTAACAACTTGTTTAATTGTTTATAGATCCAGCTCAAATTTTCTTGTTATAAAATATTTTGAAAAATTATTTCATAATATCTTTACTATAACTTAGAGAAATTTTAAATGATTTTCATATTTCATTCTTTTTTTTTTGTTATTTAATAAAGATTTGAGTCTATTAGTATAAAATCAAACCGGTTTTAAATAGTGGTTTGGTTTTTGAACCGATTTAAAGAAAGCAGTTCAATTCTTAAACCGATTCGGAAAAATATGGTGTGATTCAATTTAATTCGCGGTTCAGTTTGGTTCATTTGATTTTTTTCACACTCTTAAAGAATGGATATGGTTTTGTTTGATTCGGTTTTTAACCTAGATTAAATGGATTTGGTAAAATGGTTTGATTCTTGAACCGAACTGATTTTAAAAAAACCATTCAGTTCATGAGTGAACTGCTTCGGTTCAGTTTAGAAAATGTGGTTTCTTTGGTAAGGTATGCATCAGCTCATCAATTTAGTTCATTTGATTTTTTCCCACAATCATTTTCCCTCATCTGCCACGTCACTTTCAGATAGATACCAGTATACCACTCCCTCTATCGCCGTATGGCACCGTCAGTCACTTCTCTAACTACTTCCACCATATGACCCCATCACATAACTTGTTGGAATTTATGTATAAAATCTCATGGGTTATGAATAAAAAGTGGGTTGAAAAGAAAAGAAAGAGGGAAGGTGTGGGTAGAAGTCTCACATTGGAGAAAGAGTGAGAAGTGGAAGGCTTTATTAGCCTCCATCTCACCTCTCTAGATTTCCCCTTGTGGCACTCCACTTTTGTGGAGGAGGGAGGAGTCAGGTGGACCTTGGTCCACGACGCGCGTGCCACCGCCGCCCGTCTGGTCAGTTCAGTTCGCATCGATCGCAGGTGTGTGTGAAATAAAAATAACTTTTAAACCGAAATGTTGCTTCCCACCGATTTTGAACCGAACCAGTGCGTACGGTTAATTTTGAACCGAACCGATCACCGGTAGTATCAGTTCGCAACTGTCAGTCACGGTTGTTCGCCAGCAGAGATTTAGCATGTCTTTTCGGTGTCTATCTATATACGTTGACACCTACATAAAATCATTCTGAATTTTTACGCCGTTATTCTGCCAAAATTTTACATCATTGTGCATGCATTCATTATGCACCATACATACAATAGTACTTAGGCAGTGTGATTCCTCAAGCATTTAATTGTGTTCGTTGGGGCTCCAAATTGTTAGTGTTGTCACACTCTGGAAACATACATTTGTTCTATCCTGGGAGGCAATTGTTCATCAAACCTTCGGCATTAATAAGGGGGAACAAATTGTCTTAAGGAAACAACACTGTTGGGATCAGATTTTATCTGCAGACTGACATCTCATCCTTTCCAATAATCTGTGAGTTTGTTCTTTAATTTTATTGCACTTTTCTTGTATCATTAATTAATATATCTGGTATCATACACAGATTTGAATCTATAGGTGACTTTCACCCACTATCATCGTTAACAATCTTAAGATAACTTGGTGTTTTGAATCTGTGTTTAGTATATTTTATTTCTCTTTATATATTGTTTCTGTGCAATAAAAGTTTGATCTCTGTAATTGATCGGACATTCTGTTTGTGTAACAGAAATGGCAAGTACAAGTACAAACTTGGTTAATCCTAGTGGTTTTATTCCAATGCATGTTGAGAAACTCAAAAAATTTAATGGGAATGATTTCAAGGGTTGGCAACACAAGATGTTGTTTTATTGGACAACCCTGAGTCTGCCACATTTTCTCAAGGAAGAAGCTCCTAAGTTGGAAGAAGGAGAACAACTTGATAAGGAGAAGGCTGTTGCGGTTGATGCTTGGAAGCATTCTGATTTCCTATGTCGAAATTATATTCTCAATGGTGTAGACAACACGTTGTATGATGTGTATAGTGCCTTGAAGACAAGTAAGGAACTACTAGTTAGTTTAGACAAGAACAAAACTGAGAATGTTGCCTTAAAGAAATTTATAGTTGGCAGATTTTTGGACTACAAAATGGAAGACTCTAAATTTGTGGTGAGTCAAGTTGAAGAACTTCAAGTGATTGTGCATGAAATTCATGCCGAAGAGATATCCCTTAGTGAGTATTTCCAAGTTGCTGCATCTATAGAAAATTACCATCATCTTGGAAAAATTTCAAGAATTATCTCAAGCATAAGCGCAAAGAATTGTCACTTGAAGATATGATCATGAGATTGAGGATAGAGGAAGATAATAAAATTTCTGAAAAGAAACTTGGCAGTAATCTTATGGTCTCTAGGGCCAATGTTGTTGAAGAAGGATCAAGGTCAAAGAAGCGGAAATATTCCGAAGAGGGATCTTCTAAACAAGAAAAAGGAAAGGGCAAAAAGTTCAAGCGCAATTATTACAATTGCAGTAATCTTGGCCACCGTGCAAGGGACTGTAAGAAAAATCAAAAGAAGCCACATAATTCCAAAAAGAAGAAGACCACTCAAGCCAACATGGTTGATATTGCTGATAAAGTTGAAGATCTGAACTTGGGAACGGTGGTGTTGGAGTGTAACCTTGTGGGAGACACTAAAGAATGGTGGGTGGACACTGGTGCCACCAAACATGTCTGTTCAAACAAGTGGATGCTCTCCTCCTACACTCCTGCAAAGAATGATGAGAAACTTTATGAGTAATTCATCTACTTTAAAGGTTGAAGGTGTTGGGAAAGTGGCTTTGAAGATGACTTATGGCAAGATAATGATATTCAATGATGTGCTCCATGTTCCTGATATTCGCAAGAACTTAGTGTCTGGATCTCTGTTGAGCAAGAATAGTTTTAAACTTGTATTTGTTTCTGATAAGTTTGTACTTTCTAAGAATGATATGTATATAGGAAAGGGCTACCTTAGTGAGGGCCTTTTCAAATTGAATGTGATGATTGTAACCAATAATAATAATGTTACTTCTATTTATTTGTTTGAGTCTTCTAATTTATGGCATAATATATTAGGAGACGTTAATTTTAAGTCAATTAAAAGTTTAATTCATTTAGATTTATTGCCTAAATTTGAGTGTATAAATAATAGAATAAAGCCCTTTTTGGGTCCATAACAAAAAACACGGTCCCCTTCGTCCCTTACAAAAAAAATACCCATGTTAGTCCTTTTTTAAAGACTAAATTGGGTCTTCATTGAATTTCTGAGGGATCACATTTTCAAAGAACTGGAATTGTAGAGGGACCAAAAGTTGACTTCTTTGTAACGGATGAAAGTGGGGACCATGTTTTTTGTTAGGGACGCAAAAGGGGCTTTACTCTAAATAATAGATGTCAAGTGTGTGCTAAATCAAAATTTTCGAGATTACCTTTTACTTCTATTGAAAGATCAACCGAGTTGTTAGATTTAATACATACAGATATATGTGATATGAAATATGTATCATCTAGGGGTAATAAGAAATACTTTATTACTTTTATAGATGACTACATTAGATACTATTATGTTTATTTACTTAATAGTAAAGATGAAGCAATTTCAGCTTTTAGACAATAAAAAAGTGAAGATGAAAATCAACTTAACAAAAAAATTAAAGTAGTAAGGAGCGATCGTGGGGGAGAATATGATGGTCCATTCGAGGAATTCTATATACAGTCTAGTATTGTATATCAGACAACTGCTCCTTATGCACCGCAATCAAATGGGATTGTAGAAATAAAAAATTGGACGTTGAAAGAAATGATGAATACTATGTTAATCACGTCCGGTTTACCACAGAACTTGTGGGGGGAAGCCATTTTGACGGCTAACTACATTATTAATAAAGTACCCCAAGAAGACAAAGAGCATACCATACAAAGTATGGAAATGAAAGAAATCATCCTTGAAATACTTGAGAGTGTGGGGGTGCTTGGCTAAGGTCGCAATTCCTAAACCTAAATGGTTGAAGATCAAACCTAAAACCGTGGATTTTGTATTCATTGGATATGCACTTAATAGTAGTGCGTATCAATTTTTGGTTTATAAATCCAATGTCTCAGATATACATGTTAATACGGTTATTGAGTCAAGGGACGCTATGTTCGTTGAAGACGTATTTTCGTATAACTAGGTATATGAATCAAGTGGTAATAATGATAATAACGTTGTGAGACCTCAGGATGTTACGACTAGTGTTGATCTTATCGAGGATGAACCTAGACGTAGAAAGAGGCAAAGGACCACCACATTCTTTAGACACGATTTTCTGATATATTTGTTAGAAAATGAGCCTCAAACGTATAAAGAGGCTATAACGTCCCCAGAACCACCATTCTGGGAAGAGGCTATCAATAGTAAAATTGAATCTATTCTGTTGAACCACACTTGGGAATTGGTAGACCTTCCTCCTGGCAATAAGCCTCTAGGAAGTATGTGGGTCATCAAAAAGAAGATGAATGAAGATGGCACTATTGATAAATATAAAGCTAGGCTTGTGGTAAAAGGCTACAGGCAACGTGAAGGTCTGGATTATTTTGATACTTATTCACCTGTTACAAGGATTACATCCATTAGGATATTGATCGCGGTAAGAGCATTAAATGGGTTAGAAATATATCAAATGGATGTTAAGACCGCCTTCTTGAATGGCGACTTAGAAGAAGAAATCCACTTAGAACAACCTGAAGGTTTCGCTGTCCCAGGACAAGAACGAAAAGTTTGTCGCTTGATAAAATTCCTTTACGTGTTAAAACAAGCTCAAAAACAATGGCATGCGAAATTTGATAAAGTTATGTTATCAAATGGTTTCCGTATAAATGAACGTGACAAGTGTGTCTATGTTCGAAATACTGAGAAAGAGTTTGTCACAGTTTGTTTTTATGTGAACGACATATGTTGATAATGGGTAGCAATAATCAAATAATTAAAGCTACTAAGCAACTGTTTACGAGTAAATTTGACATGAAAGATATGGGAATAGCGGACGTTATCTTGGGTATTAAAATCCATAGAACATCTAGAGGGTTGGCTTTGTCACAAGCTCATTAAATTCTTGAGAAATTCAAGAGTTTGAACATAGCTCCTGTGAAGAACCTCGTAGATTCTAATCTTAAACTATCGAAGAACACTGGTAAAGCTGAAGCACAAAAGGAATATGTTCAAGTGTTAGGAAGTCTCATGTACGTTATGAATTGCACCAAACCTGATATTGCCTATGCAGTGAGGCTGTTAAGTCGCTTTACTAGTAATCCAAACGAGTATCATTGGAAAGCTATGGTAAGAGTTTTGGGATACTTGAAGCACACTCAAAACTTTGTCTTGCATTACGAGAAGTACCCTGCAATAATAGAAGGGTATTGTGATCCAAACTGGATCATTGGCTCTAATGACACTAAATCCACAAGTGGTTTTGTGTTCACCCTTGGTGGGGGTGCCGTGTCTTGGAAATCGTCCAAGCAGACTTGCATTACAAGATTAACTATGGAAGCAGAATTTATTGCTAGATAAGGACGGTGAGGAAGCCGAATGACTTCGTAATTTTATTGAGGATATTCCTAATTGGCCAAAGCCGCTACGAGCCATATGCATGCATTGTGATAGCCAAGCCGCTATTGGAAGGACCAAGAACGTCATGTATAACAGTAAGTCTAGACATATACATTGTAGACATAATATCGTAAGACTATGTGAAGTCTAAAGAAAATATAGCGGATTCATTGACCAAAGGGATTCCTAGAGAGTTGGTTGAGAATTTATCGAAAGGAATGGGTTTAAGGTCTATCAATTGTTGATCATTACGGTAACTTTACCTTGATGAGTGGAGATCCCACGAATTACGTTCAAAGAGACAACTAAGTGATGATCGACTGTTAACACTGTGGAGTTTCTAAACTTATGCCCATTCCTATGACAAGACAGTGTATATATAAGGGTAAGCATTTAGGCTTTTAATGGTTTCTTAATCTAATGTGTTCAGATGATGTATGTTGAGTTACATCACAAGGAATCACCTATGTGAGTGTGAAGTGCAGGTTGCTTCGTGTCGTGATATGTTGTGTCAACTCGTATAATAAGCGACACAATGTAAGGTTACGAGTTATTTGTGGTGTGTTGTGTAAACCCACCAAATCATAGGATCATGTTTGTATCGAAGGTTTTGACTCATTTTCAAATTTGTGTCGTGTTCACATGAAATTCGTGTCATGTCAACGCAAATTGTCACTTATCTAAGTGAGAGAGTTTTAGGCTAAATGCCACTAATCAGGTGCAAATCGACCAAAAATGGGGAAACAAAAAAACACATTTTGTATAGATTTTTGTTGATATCAGTATCATTGTCGATCGTAACAGGCTGTAAAGGAAAAGAAAATGAAAGAAAACGTAGGAAATTGAGAAAAATCGATATTCTAGAGCTTTCGAATTTGGTCTCTCCCCACTCAACCCAATACATTCAACATACACCTCTGTCCTCTCTCACTTCTCTTATTACACTCACCCCACGAAGCCATTACAACAACTACTTCTCCCACCAAGTGTGTGATTCGGGAATAGATCCTTTCGTGTTAAAATTTTACATAATTTATTTATGTAAAATTTTTGTATTTATCTCTTTCTTCGTTAATGATAATTTCACATAATTGAACTTCACTTTTTTGATACATTGCTATGAGAAAGATAAATACAAAATTTAATGAAAGGATCCATTCATGTGTGAATCACATTTTGTTGAGGGTCTGATCCTCTACGGCCCTTCCTCACGTTTCCTCGCGATGCCGGGTCACTTCCTATCAAATCCCTTTAAAAATTAGAGTAAATACCTTTTTTTACTCCTCAGCAAATTTCACTACGCCCGTTTTAGTCCCTAGCAAATAAAAAGGTCTATCGTGGTCCCTAAGAAATTCAAAATGGATCCATTTAGTTGAAATTTTGATCCCTCACAAATTAAAAAAAAAACCCATATTAGTCCCTAAAAGGACTAAAATGGATCTATTTTAAATTTTTCAGAGACCACGGACCCTTTTATTTGCTAGGGACTAAAACGAGCGTCGTGAAATTGCTGAGGACCAAAAAGAGTATTCACTCTAAAAAAAACTCTAAAAATTAAGTAGATTGATTCGTTTCAAAAAAAAAATAATAATAATAATAATTTTTGCCAATTCTCTTATGTATGCATGTACTGGAAAAAAAAAAGGAATTTGTGGAAAAACACAACATGAATCAATGAAGAAAATGTTATTTTATTTGTAATGGCGAGAAACAAAGAGAATAGAAGAAAAGCACGAGAAACAAAGCAACGGTTTAAAATATTTAAAAAAGAACAGACCCGCATCGGTGACAGAGCTGAGCGAAACTGCCACTGCGAAGCTGCCATCCGTTCGTGAAGGTTGTCGTCAACGACTTGCAATGATAGCAGAAGAGCATGGAAGAAGAAGAAGCACCAGCAGAAGCCATTGCAGCTCTCTCTCTCTCTCTCTCAGAGGGACACACAAGTGTGAGAGTCAGCAAAAGCGAGAGTGACGCTTAATAAACACACGTTTTTTGCTTAATGCTCACGAGATTTGTGACTCAAGTACTCAACTATTGGGTCCACTTCCTGAGAAAAATAATAAAATATAACCTTCCGTAACCGTTTTTTTACCTTGGTGATGTAAATGAAAAAATAATTAAAATTGATAAATTTTAAAAAGTATTTTCTTAAATCCAAGAGGTAACAAAGTAAAGTAAATATGGTCGAAATCTTCCTTCTTATACAGCCTAATTTATTTTCTGTAATTAATTAATTCTCAATTCTTAATTCTTAGATTTATCATTAATTGCACCTAAGTGCGAATCTTTTCAAAAAAAGTCTTGTAATTAAAATTTGTAATCTGCAACTAAGGAAAAATGGACAAATAAGAAGTGGTTTTACATCATTCCTTATTAATTATTTAAAAATCACGCCCCCATGTATAAATGGTATTAAAATTAAAAGATTCCATTATCTTTAAATAAACTAGTGAGTTTTTCAGATGCTGAAAACTTCAAACGTAAAAAAAAAAAAAAAAAAAAAGTGTTTAAATACTGTTTAAATTTTAATTTAACCAACATTTTGCCAAAAAAAATATTAATAACATCTCTTTTTTGTTTTTGTTTTATTTAGAGGAGAAATAAACCGAGAAGAAAATATTAAATTGCAAATTGTGATGGTTTTACTCGAGTTGAAAGACGAGAAATCATGTATCAAAAAAAAAAAAAAAAGACGAGAAATCAAGAAAAAAAATAATAACAAAAACCCGATAGAGATAAATTTCTTGGTTTCTCATGTTTTTAATGTGATAAAGTTATAAAGACTGCAATTACCATTTAGTATTTTTTTTGTCGGCTCATTTCTATTTCAAAAAAAAAAACCAAAAAATAATGTTACACTTATTTACGAAAGATGTTAAATAAATTAAAATTTTGACAGTATTCAAACCCCTTTTTTAAATAACAAGACTTTTTGAAAAGTTTTTCCCATAAATTCTAATTAATTGTGGAATATAAGAATTAAGTAATGGAACTTAATTAATATTTTTACCCAAAAAATATTAGCGACATGTTATACTTATTATTGTATCTTATCACTGCTTACATCATTTTATTACGTCGGATTGAAATCAAATCAATGGTTCTAACTTAATATCATTTTATAATTGTTGGTAGGGGTGTTTGCTATCTTGATTGGATCAGTTTTCAACAAAAATCATCTGATCAAATCGCTTCAGATTGATAATTTAATCATCCATTTGGTTTAAAAAAATTTTAAAATATGATCCAATCAAATTCAATCCAATCCAATTTTATTTGGTTTGGATTGGATCAATTTTTCGATTTTTTGTAAAGCCTAAAATTTCAGTCATACAAATTACTAGCTATATTAAAATAAAGTCATCCTTGTACCAAAAATAAATAAATAAAGTCATCCAAAGTTATAAACAACCGAAAAATTCAAGTCTTCAAACTAAAACAATTCCTAAAACTCATGAAGAGTGAAAATAGATTAATAGATAATAAAAAACTAAAACAAGATAGTTTGTTATCAATAACATCCAAGATTTCAAATTTACAAAACAATAAGATTCTAAGTCACCATCTTTCAAACATAATAAATAAATAATATATTGGATCAATTCGGATTTGATTTGTTTTCACCAACCAAATCGAAAATCGATCCAATTCAATTAAAATATGCGGGTTTTTTCGATTTTTGAATAATTTGATTATCGATTTTTCAGTTCGGTCACCGTAGTTTGAATCGGTATGGATCAATTAATGAACACCCCTAATTATTTGCTTGATTTTTTTCTAAAGATAACAAGATTAGTGGTAGGTATAACCTCTCCGAAAATTAATATTGAAATAATTATAGGAAATGGATTAGAATTACAAGAATGAATTAAGTAACAGAATCTACCAAAAAATAATAATGAGAATCAATTAATGGTGAATTAAATAGGCAAAAAGTTAAGGTGGGAATTGGGTGACTCCAACAAAGATGGAAATTATTTTTTAGGAAAAAGTTAAAAAAATGTGATATGATTTTGTTTTGAATCACTTATCTTTTATGTTTTTTTTTTCTTTTAATCACTTATTCCCTATGATTTTTTCTATCCTAACTCATTCTTAACACCATTAAAATTTTAACTAATATGTTTATTTTACCCTTCTTAAAAAGAGAAAGTAGACTGATGACAAGAAAAGAGAAGTAAGACCAAAGATGTCTAAATCAAAAAGAAAAAAATAGATTGAGAACAAAAAAAAGGTTAAATATTTTGAAAACGTACAACAATAATAAAAAAGATTAAAAGTAAAAAATGAAAATAGTCTTAATTAAATAGAAGAAAATAGATTGAAAAAAAAAAATAGAAGACAAAATAAGACAAAAAGAAATAGAAGAATAATAAATCAGTGTTGTATGTTTCTGACATATTTGGCCTTATTTTTCCTTTTTTATCCTTAGTATATTTTTTTTCTTTTGATTTACATTTTTTTTCATTCTATTTTCATTTTCTTTTACTTTTAGTCTTTTCTATCACTCTTAAAAGACATAAGAAAAAAGAAAGACAAAAAATAAATAGGAGCAAAAGAAATCAGTTTTGTAAGTTTCCAACTGTAATTCGCCTTTATTTTTCTTTTATTTTTTTCGCCTTCAATCTATTTTCTTCTTCTTTTATTTAGATTATTTTCATTTTTTTACCTGAGTGTTTGGTAGGAGGATTATTTTCATATGCCTGGGAAAGTGAGGATTGTGGAATCAATGCACTCTACGAAAAGAACATAAAGGTTCAACGATTTTGATGATAACAAACAAGCATGGAAATAAAGCTTCAAGGTGAAACCATCAAAAAGAAGTCTAAACAAGATCAAGAATCAAGCTTCAAGAGAAGTCTCTAAGTCCAAACTCAAAATAATATATAGGACTTAGGATTATTTGTAAATCGATTCCTTACATAAACGAAGCTCAAAGTACTTTTTGAAATACATGCATTAAATCATCGTTTGACACTCAAATACATTCCTAGCATGAAAACATAGTTTTCAATGTTCATAAAATGTTTAAACAATATTTGAAACTGATGTGAATCAAGAGAAAACCATTTTAGGGCGAAATCCAACCTTTCAACAGGTTGGTAATCGATTGCCCAACAATGGTAATCGATTACTCACTCAATGGTAATCGATTACCTACTGTACAGAAGACAAAAATAACGGCTATAAAACGGCTAATTTGTGAAAATGAGTAGGAAAAAGGTCATGGGGGCCCTCTATAAATAGAGACTATTGTTCCCATTGATGGGACACACTTCTTGTTCATTATTACTCATTAATTCTCATCCTATTTTCATTATTCTTGTCTTCTTGATCATAAATTCTTTTTGAGCTTTATTCTAGTAAGAGTGTCAACAACTATTATTCTTCAACTTGTGTTATTTGTACTTTGAGAGTACTTAGCCATTATTAAACACATTCCTTTGATTTATTGAGTAGTTAGGGGAGTGAACCCTATACACTTGAAAGGTCACCAAATTCCTAAGAAAATTTGGAGTGAAAAATTATAAGGCATCAAGAGCCCGACGTCTTGAAAGGTTGTAGTGGTTTATCAAGCACCCTCAAGCTTGATAGTTAGTGAAAAGAATTGATCGAGCGGCTTCAGTCTGGACGTAGGTCACGGTGGTGATGACCGAACCAGGATACATCTAGTTTGCAGTTTCTCTAACCTTAATCTCTTTATTTAAGTATTAAAATTTCATTTTAGATTGTCTTTATATATTCGCTTGCTTACTTTGTTGATCACTACACTTGCCCTTACACTTAGATTTTTCCTTATTAAATCACTCTATTGAAGAAATAGTCTTTAAAATATCAAAGGAGGTACTTTGCGAAAAGATTTTGTAAAACTCAATTAACCCCCCTCTTGAGTATTGAAGCCACTTGTCCAATAAGTGGTATCAGAGCTTGAACTTTTGTGTAAAGAGCTTAACCGCTTCAAGAGAAGGGATGGCTTCTTTGAACCATGATATGCCCCTTGAGGGATCGTCTAGTACTAGATCTCCATTTTTCAATGGCGTCGATTATTCTTATTGGAAGAGTCGGATGAAAATATTTCTTCAATCTAATGATTTAAGAGTTTGGAATGTAGTTGAAAAAGGGTACACACCACCTACTATAAAAAATGCGCAAGATGAAGATATTCCTAAAGATATAGATAACACTTAAGATGAAATTAAGAAAGGAAATTGGAATGCTAGAGCTCAAAACTTGATCACAAATGCCTTAGGTCGTGATGAATACTTTCGTGTTTCAAGTTGTAAGAATGCTAAGGAAATGTGGGATATTCTTCAAATAACCCATGAAGGAACTAGTGATGTTAAATTTACAAAATTAAATGCACTCACTAGAGAATTTGAAATGTTTGAGATTCATGAGAATGAAAGTATTCAAAGTATGCAAAAGAGATTCACACACCTTATCACTCATCTAAATGCTTTAGATAAATCTTTTACTAACCTTGAGTTAATTTCTAAGGTGATGAGAAGTGTGCACAATAAGGAATGGCAACCCAAGTTGACGGCTATTACGGAATCAAAAGATTTGAAAACCATGGATCTCGCAACCTTGTTCGGCAAACTTCAAGAGTATGAAATGGAGCTAACTAGAATATCCTTGAAGGAACAAGCCATCAAGAAAAGTAAGGGAATTGCCTTGAAAGCCTCAACACCAAGCAAAGAGAAGGATGAGGAAAAAGAAGATGGAGATTCTGAAAATGGTCTTGATGAAGATGAGATGAGTCTCTTCGTAAAGAACTATGGAAAATTCTTTAAGAAGAATTTTTCAAAGAAATCCGCACTTCCTCCTAGAAGAAGATCTAAAGATGAAGGATCCTCACAACTCACCATCACGTGCTATGAATGTGGAAAAACTGGTCACTACAA